AAGCACAAAATGGTTATGAGGTCAGTTCCAGTTTCATGCTGAAAGAGTTAAAACTCAGCCTAGAGTTGACCATTTGTGCTTTCCAGGCTTTATTAGTCAATGTTTAACCAGTATGGGGGTGTTGATTTTGCAGAAATTGTTGCATTTACTTTGCTGAATGTTGGAAAGATATTTGAATTTCTACATTGTTTTATACCATTAAGTCTTCATGTGTGGTGATTGCTGCACACATTATTTCAACTATGCCAGGTAGAGATAACACTAAAGGTTGGGTTAACAAATGCAAGATTTATTGCCTTGACTTTCAATGTTTCTTGTGCAGCATAAGGTTTGTGGCTAGGCTGTGTTTTCACCTGCATCCTATGTGGGGTGTCTGGCATTGGAACTTATTACTGATAGATACATAGGAGTGTTAGACAGGTCAGGCAGGAACCTATAACTGTCAGCATGTTGTACTATGTTATCTTTCATGTACACATTACAGTGTTGATAATTTCAGATGAGTTATCTGTATGGTTTGTATCTTCCAATGGTGATTATTCCATAGCAGATATTGCTATCATGTTGAACTGCAATAACCATTTCTGTCTCTGATTCAGCATGTGATATGAAGTTAAAGCCAGTGAGAGTGAACTGCTCAAGGTCTGTGAGTTTAGTCTCTTAAAAGAGTATGATGTCATGAAATTCAGAGAGCTTAAATTCTCAAGAAGTACTTTTTTCTCCAGATGTTCAGTAACCTATCCTAATCTGAGACTGATGGATTCTTTAAGTATGCATTCTGTGTATGCATTGTTTATCAGCTCATGTTTAGGCTTCATTTTCCTTATTATTTTCCTTCTTCTACTGGTCAATGGAGGTCTCCAACTGAGTGCACGAGCTCCACCATCCGGCAAGCACTCGTCTAGGTGCTGCTTTGTTATGTATAATTGTTTGTAGACAATAACCACTTGATTTCAGAAGTCTGACAGCCCTCTGAAGGCAGGCAAGTGAGGTTGGTCAGTAGCCTGTTACAATGGGCCTGCCATTCTTGAGATGAGCACAAACTGCCCGATAAAGTATAAAGATACCCTTCCTCTCTCAAGAAGTTCCCTGGCATAGGACCTTACACTGATAAAGCCCTGTTTATAACTGGAAACTAGATGTATCTCTGTTGTTTCCACAGAGTGTTGCAAAGTGTGCTCTCTACTTGATGATCTATCACTTATACAATATGTGTGGCACAATCTGGTAAAGCTTGCGTATCTGAGTTGTGTTGGCTATTGATCCAATATTCCAGATATTCATTTGCTCCAATGTTGCATAAAACAAGGCTTCAGGTGGTTTAACATTGGAACTAATCATAATCTTACCAATAAATTAGTCCCTGTTTCAGACATGTACCTTGTATATGTACTAAAATGAAACACAAACTAACTCTGTACATGAAATTAAATAATGATAACTTGTAGTTAACCTACAAAGTTGGTAACTTCAGTGTACATAAACTAAACACATGGCAAATATGTAGTTGTGCCTATATTTTAAGCTGGTGTGACTGTGTAATTAATCTATATCTAATCATGAAGTGAAAAAAGTAATACTCATTTACCCAATGTGCACAGGCTTAGTCCATTAGATGAAGCCTGTATTGGAGAAGTAATGTTAACCATAATTCAAAAATTACTGTATGTTCATGAAATGTGGCAAGCTTTTAGTGGTAAGTACATGTCTGTTTTAAACAAAATATCAGATGGTTAAAGAAGTATTTATGTTTAAGACGTCTGTGAACTGATGCCATCAATCTGATTCAGACTTTGAGATTTTAGAATGAAAGGTGATGTTCATGTGAAGAATAAAAATACTTTGTCCATAGCACAGCTTGCACATTGCATTTGCTCTAGGACTTCAAATGTGTATAGTTTGTTTCGGTATCCCTGAATATTGTATCTGGTACTTACTCTACCACTAAATGTGGATAAATCAGCAAAGTAGAGTCAAACGAATAGTGGATAATTCTGACTTCACATATATAATACCATATGGAATGGCACTCTACAGTAGATTATGGAATATGCACTTGCACCCCCACCTGTGCACATTGGGTTAATTGAGCTAAAAACAATTCTTCAACAACTTGTAGACCATTATGAAAATTTAGATTTTAATTGATTTTTTTCTCTTTTATTTTTCTTTTTTTTTAGTTATTTGCTAATCTACATATATTTAATATTACAGTCCATCCCAATTAACTCATCATTGTACTTCGGTATTTTTTTACAGTCTATACTAGCACAGACGTAGGCCTAATTTGAATTTATAGTAGGCCTAATGAACATTAAATCTTGTTGACCATTGTGGGTTAGTTATAATCTACATATTTTTGTAAGGTTTGTATGCCACTATAAAGGAATTGCTGCACAATTTTTTAGCCTTTTCTCCTTCCTTCCCTGTTTTTTTAATGTAAGAAGAGAATATTATATTTTTAATATAGAGAAATGGAGCTTAAGAATTATGACTCACTACTCAACATAAAGTAATGGTGTAACTATAGTAACAGCACAAGCAATGGCTAAACCTATTCTTGTAATAGTAGTTTAGTATAAGATTATATAATCTAAAAACGTTAAAGTAAGATATCTATTGTAAACTCAAAATTAACTTTATATATGATCTTGGTCATTTTGGCTGAACTTGTAACCACTATGTGACCATAAAACTATACATACTATAACTGACTGTACTTCAAGTGTACCTTCACAAAATTGTTAAAGCTTTTAGTAAACATTGCAAAAAAATCAGATTTATTTGAATAAGGTATTTTTACTAAATATTTGTCTAAATTTATGATGCCTGTACTGAGTCAGTCTGAGTGAAAGGTAATTTTCATGCTGAGAATAACAATACTTATTTTCACCTTACAGTTTTTGTATTTCACTTGCATGACACATAGAACATCATAAATGAATATAAAAGTTTTTTCATGGTAAAGCTTTGTACTTTGTTTTGTTATCTCAACCTTAACACTAACTGTAGCAAAACCATCAAATGAAA